TTGATCAAAAAAGAAAGATTAGCTTTGGTCACCGAGTCAGTCATTGTTGAAAAAGTGGGCGTCTTGATTAATTTTCAGTCAGAAAATTAATATTAAATTTAAAAATTCAAATTTTGTTGTTGCTGTTTATCAAAACGGCTCAACTTTTCACCCACCCCGAAAGCCTCTTCAAGAGCAACTGTGAGTAAAATTAACGACAGCTATGAGCATATCAAGCCAAGAAAAGGGACCTAACAAAGATCGCCTAAATATAATTTAGTTACCAGAGGTCGGACGTGACAAAGTGTGAGCCAGGTCAAGGGGCTATAACTATAAAGAAGTCTTCTTTTTTTTTTTGGTAAAGTGTTTTACGGCGCTCGCAACAGCATAAGGTCATATGAGCGCGCGGGACACACCTAATATTTTCAGTTGGTAGGAAATTTTGAATTTTGCCCGGCTGGCGACCGAAGCCTACTCTTTCCGATTTTAGACCACCAAGGGATCTTTAACGTGCGCAACTTGCACACGGGTCCTCCGAGATTTTTCGCCCTTGTCCGAGAAGGCTAGATGTAGATCTTTCCTACCAGAAGATCAGGGGTGTGGCAGAAAGACAGCAGTAAGGAGGAGCCAAGGAGTAGCAGTAGAAAGGCTGCAGAAAGAGTCAGGAGCCCAGAGGAAGGGGCAAAGGAGGTGAGGGGGTGGGGGCAGAAAGTGGAAATGAAAGCAGACAGCAGAACACTGCTAGAGAGCAGGAAAGAAGGTGAAAGGAGACAATTTTAGAGAAGAAAATTTTTCAGTCGCTACCCGGATTCGAACCCGGGACCTTTTGAATGAGAGGCCACGAGAGCCCCCAAATCTCGTTTAAACTTGAAATGGACGAGGGAAATGTTTGAGCCAACTTCGTAAAGACGAAGGCGGAAAGAGAGAGAAAGAGAGAGAGAGAGAGAGAGAGAGAGAGAGAGAGAGAGAGAGAGAGAGAGAGAGAGAGAGAGAGAGAGAGAGAGAGAGAGAGAGAGAGAGAGAGAGGGGGTGTGTGGGGGGGGGGGGGGGGGGGGTATAAAACACCTGAAATCGCCTACACATTCAGGATTTATGGTCATCAAAATAATTTGACAATAACTATTTCATTGAATTGTACAGTGTAAATTAAATGTGATTTTATAGACTCCATAACTTACCAATTCTGGCTTGTGTATCGACACACTTGCCAGGCAGTCTCCCACTCAGTGGTGTATGTATTGAAAAGCACACCTGTAACGAGTGGTAATAGTACATGTAATAGAAATGATAATGATAGCAATAGTTCGTCCGTCAATGGTTGCCGATGACCAATGCATCCGCAGAAGAGCATTTCTCAAAATAGAAGAAAATTTGCAGAATCAAGATGTTAAAATATGACTTGTGACAACTGCTATGGCCGATGACGCCAATTCTGGTAGAGAAAAGTTTGCCACATTTTGTGAATTCGAAAGCTCCATAAAACCATTTCCACTTGTGGGTGTGTGCAGCTTACGGGCTTCTCTGTTGGTTTCAGCCATATTCGTGGAACCTCAATCTTATACTACCTGTATGACTTGCTGCTATCCAACTGGGTCTGTCAGGAGCAGGCTCTCCTATAAATAATGTCGAAGTCCTTCAGAAACATTTCCATAGTGTCCTTGTAGCCCTTTTTTTTTGGTGTGCCAACTTTTTACTGTTCAGAATAGGATTTTAAAATGAGGCATTTTTAGATTGAAATTAAGCTACATGGTCAACCCAGGAAAGTTGAGCCCTTTTGACTGTCCTCGTGGTTTTATGCACCCCGCATAATTTAGTAAAATTTGATCATTTTTTGCATAATTTCTTATTATTTTCCGTTATCATTCTTTGTTAAAATGAACAGAATCGCATAATTTCATATTTTTGGGCTCAGTTTGCATAATTTCAGAATTTTCCTTGCTTAAAATATAAAACGGCGGGGGCAGTTTTGAGCTTGGAATTTAAAAATCAGATTTTGGCATTTGCCGTTTTTGAGAGCTTCTGTGTGTCTGGTATTTCATCCTGCCATAGAATGCCAAGAATTCCCGTGCCTGAGGCATTTTATGAGGGAATGATAAAGCCTCTTGGTATGGCTTTGGTACATGTACACTGTAGAATGTGTTTAGGAAACTCCAGTTTCACACGTGCTCACTTTTCGTTTGATTTTAAGTGGCCATCAGAGCTCATGTTGTGCTTCAGGAAAACGTAACGTCTGAAATTAATACTATACATGTATTTAACTTAACCCTATCCGTACGTCGTGTTTTACTATCGTATCCATACAACGTGGGGAACTCTGTACGCCACCACTTTCAGAAAAGAAAATTTACTCGTTTATCCGATCCGTACGCTCTGCATAGCAGCCTGTCAAAATATCGGGGGGGGGGGGGGTGGGTTTTTTTTTTTTTTGGGGGGGGGGGGGGGGGTTAGAAATACTGAAAGTTTCAAAGAGATCTTCGCATTAGAAGTATTTTAAAATGTGAAGAATACAACCCCGGGGATACAAAATGACCCCAGAGCGTACGGATAGTGATAATTTGTTGATTGCATAAATTGAAAGGAGAAGAAGTATAACCGAGTAGGCTATCACTATCATATAATATTGATTAAGATCTCGAGTGTTGTAAGTCAATCTGAACAAAACTGAAGAAGACCAAAGAGCTTGAAACAGCAAAACAAATCAAAGCCTGGTCATTTCTGGAACTTTAACTTTAAAATTAAAAGCAGTTCATGTCTATCAAAAATAGAAACTTTTGTCAAAATATGTCACAGTCACAGGTCAACAAATACGACATGGAATGAAATATGTACGAGTGTACGTTCATTTAATTTTTCTTCTAGACAGTATACTGGTAATGGTATGTCTATACTATTCGTTTTCGACCGTTAGGACTGTTTCGTCGTGCAAGCACCACATTTAGTTTCCCAGTTCCCACCATAGTTTTGGTTAGAAACAATTAAAGAGGGATAGATGCAAAAACGTGTCATTGTTTAAAAGCAAAAGCTTCCAATGTAAGGGTCATAAATAAAGAATGCATCGTGTATCCATATATAAGTTATTCTTTTACTTTTAATTTTATGTTGTAATCTATAGGGTCTCGGATTTTTTTCACAATTGCTTTTCGTTGTTTTTGTTTTGAATCAACGTATTTTTCCTTTATAAATTATAAAAGAAATTACCTTTTTTTTTAAAGAAACCAAAAGCGATTTCATAAAATAAAAATACACTAGCACAATCTATTAAAATTAGTTGAATTGTAAGTTTTTGTGGAAAGTTACACACAAAAGAGCACCTCTCTATTTCAACTTCAAGGAGATTACATGTATATATATTATTATTATGCTTAATAGATATAATACTATAATTATGGTTTACGAGATCTCCACACGTACAAGGGCTCCCTGAAAAAGTCTCTTTGTGTCGGTCATATTGACCACTGCCAGTGGTTGACCCTTGTGGTGAACCGCTACCTGCCAGGCTGTCTCCTCCTAGGATGGTTCTCATAGGGCCAGCTTACAGTACAGAACAAGAGGCAGAGGAAGAAAAACCGTAAAACCATAGCATCATCATCTGCGACGTACAAACATCAGTGATTATTGTTCTCCATTCATTCCTTTCCTCGGATGCTCTCAACAAACGTTACTCGCTCATAATTTAAATTATCACCTTGATCTTTCCCTGCCACATACTATTTGTTAAGGCTCAGGAAATAGTCTTTTCCAGATTCTCAGCACCATACCCGGATCATACTACATCGTATCAGAGGTCCATAATGTACATAATATTACGTACATTACAATCTTTATCTACAGCCGGACCTGCCTGTCCTGCATTGATCTTTTCAGCCATGAGTAAGCCTGCGGTCCAGGTGGACCACCCGTTCAGTCAGGATTTTCTTTTACAAAACAAGGCCATGAAATATTATTTGATCCACCTGGCCTTGTATTATATTAATAAGTAAAACTGAAAACAAAATCAAATGCTGGTATATCAGACACACTGCAAAGCTGTAAACACTTTGGGTGTACCGACTGTTTATTTTACTAAAGACCCATTCAAACCGAGCGCTCTTGTGGTCTAGGGGTTAAGGTGTTCGCCTCCTCATTCAATAGGTCCTGGGTTCGAATCCTGAGAGCAAAGGAAAATATTCTTCTCTAAAACGGTCCCCCCTCACATCCTTTCCTGCTCTCTAAAATTGTTCTGTCGTCTGCTTTCGTCTCCACTTTCTCCCCCCCACCTCCTTTGGGCTCCCGACTCTTTCTGCCGCCTTTCTACTGCTACTCCTTGGTTCCTTCTTACTGCTGTCTTTCAGCCACACTGCCGATCTAATGGTAGGAAAGATCTACACCTAGCCTTCTCGGACAAGGCCGAAAAATCTAGGAGGTCCTGTGTGCAAGTTGCGCACGTTAAAGATCCCTTGGTGGTCCAAAATCGCAGTAGGCATCTGCCGACACCCGGGCAAAATTCAAAATTTCCTACCAGCTGAAAATAATGTGTTCCACGCGTTTGTAAGACCTTGCTGCCGTGAGCGCTAAAACACTTACACCCCCCCCCCCCCCAAACCAAACAAACACCAAACCAACATTCAAACTTGGGTAAAGTACAGAAAATTCGTGTAAAGCGCCTTTCCCAAGGACAGAACATCGGTCCCCTAACAATGTTTTAACTAACGACCTTTCAGTTGCAGGCCCAACAGCCTAACCACTAGACCACCAACAATTTTTATGCTGTGTTTATAGCTTGCCACAACTTAGTTTTAGTAAGTGTTTTACGGCACTTGCAACACAATAGGGTCATATAAATGCCTAAGATTAGAGGTGTAACAAGAGAGTAACAAACACCAAAAAAGAAGGAGAGGAGATAAAGACAATAGATGTTTGATAGGAAAGAAAAAGTTAACCACACCAGAGCACCCGCCAACCACCCACTTGCCATGTCTGTCCCCAAGACAACATCAACAAAACCATTCAGAACGCTACAGTGAAATAAAAAAGGAACATTCTTTTGTGCGACAAGTTAAAGTTTTATTTCTGTCTTTTCTTCTTCTTCTTATCAGCAAGGCCAGCAAATTCAAAACTCTTCAGAGGATCAGCTTTCCTTTTCTGAAACAAACAAGAAAGAGCAATTAGATCTTTATTATGCACAACTCTCAACTGTAGTATCCCCACCCTCTTCAAAATATACACATGCCCGCGCACACACACACACACACACAGTATTACACAGCAATCACCCTTAAGCATTAAGATCTAAACCATCTACTTCTTAAAGACAGGTCAGTACAATACTATGAGCATGCACTCAGCTCACTGGTTAGCCTTCACAGCCTCCGTAATATGGCTAAACATCAATTGCCATTTCTGTTGCACCCTTCTAAAGTAATAAATCTATGCAGAAAAATTCGTTTTAACTTGTGCAAGAAGGAAAGAGTTCAGAATATACAGGGCAAAAACTTGACAGGGTGAAAAATGTTCCCTGTTGAGGTACTCGTACCACTTCATCCTTGTGCGGTGAAGGATATGTGGTTTTCAGTTGCATTTTCTGAGGGCTCAATGTCCAGCCACAATTCATTGTCAAACGAAACAAAATGATCCCTACTCCTTTCAGCATCACTGTGGTCATTCTCATTTCTACAGCTACTGGCAATACCACCTTTGTCACCAGCACTTGAAAAAAAAAAGGTGTGGGTGGCGGCGCGGACGGCTGGGGTGGGATAACAACACATTACACAATGCTTACATGGAGATATGAACAATAAATTGGATTGTGTTGGACTGCAAAACCATTGAAGTCGCAACATATGAGTTTTCATTTTACTTAACAGGCTCATTAACTGCTAAAGACCACTTTGATTTCAAGTCTTAATGTATTGTGCTTTTACTCTCTTACTGACTTTGTGATATGTCTTGAATACAGTGACCATAGAAATGCCTAAGCTTAGGCCACACAATACTATATGGGCAGACAATGAAATGTAATGAAGAACGAACATGCAAGAGGGTAGGAATTTTTTGAGCATGTACAACATAACAGAAGGGGGTGGGGTGGAGGGGTGTTGTGGTATTAGAGAAGAAGAGAGGGAATCAGATACGCTAGAGTTGCCTGACAAAAGAATTACCACAATATGATCATTGTCTACTAATCAAGCTCAGATGAGTCATCTCTTTGTATTACCGAAGTTTTCAATAAACAGTCTCATTATTCCAGTACAGTATTTACATTTATATAAAGAGACAATTACAGGAATTGACAACCCACTGAACATGATGGTCCGGCCCAAGAAAAAGATCAGAGAATTTTAATATCAATATGCCAACTGAATCTGTAGCATCATATTCTTCAGAACTCTGCTACACACTTTCAATTTTCAATGAGAATACCATCATCAGAATCACTTTCGCAATCACCTACTGAACACTGTTGATATTCAGGAGATGCCTTGATGCTGCCATTGGCCAATTCAAGTGTTGCTGTCTGTAGCAATTTAATTATATCTAAAATTGCTACTCCTTACAGAATTTTACTTTCAGGGAACGCTTGGAGGGGGAATAGGGAATAAAGAGCCAGCAGAGAGCAACCTACCATGAACTTCTTTTCTGTTTGATATGCTGGTCTGCTCTGCTTGTGTTGGCCACTGTGGCCGTCACGATTTCTCCTCCTGCTTCCTCCACTCTGGCTTCGCAGCGATTGGGGAACTGTGAATTTGTTTTTATAAAAGTCATGACAACATTTCACAGCAATCATAAATAGGAATACTCATTCGTCACTGAGGAAAAACAATTGCCCCTTGATTGAAATAAAACTACATCTAATTACAGATGTTGAAAAGGTTTGTAAAAATAAAGTAACTTGAGTCATTTCGGACAAACATTTCCATTGTATTATTATACTATATCGCCTAAAACCAAATTGCTTGTCAGTTTTTTTCCTCTTACTCAGACCTCAGATAGAGCTAAAGAGGAAAGTTGAACCCAAAGCATTTGTTGGATGTGTGGTATTAAGTGGTATTCAGCAAACAAAGGTCTATTCTTTGGAAAAATGGGATGACACCAGTCAGGACAAAGGGACACAAGTAAGGGTATGTAAAATTTTCTTCTCTACAAATAAGGTACAGAAACATATACATGATATACATGCAAAAGTTAATATCAGAATTTTAAAAGCTGAACTGCTAATTTTGGTCGAGAGCCTTTTCCACTAACTTTGACAACACTGCCTTCATCGGCTGATGCTAGTGCTTTTCATTTGCAGTAACTTATGCCTGTCATATAATATAAATATACTATACAACGTGTCATCAAGAGCTTTGATATCTTGCACTATTCAAAGCTATAGATTAGCTTCGTAAAAGAAAATGTTAAAAGTCTTCCAGCTGCAGCACTATAAAGATAAATCAAAATCTGAATCTTGTAGTACAGACAAAGGAAAATTGTTGGTCGCCTCTTGGGTCTCCCTTAACCTTAGCAAAGTCAAAAACATAATATCAGTGCAATGAAACAGGAGGCTTTTGATCAATTCTTTTCTCTATAAAGATTTGAAAAACAACACCATAACACCAATTCAGTCCAGGGAAGAAGCAGATTAAGTGGACAGAAAACCCCCCCCTACAAAAGGAAGTAAATGGCATAAGAGCCAACCACCAGCACCCTTTAACCACCCATGTGAAGAAATAAGGAGAGACTACTATTAATTAGTAAAACATGCAACTATTAAATTCAGTGTCCCTCTAAAAGGACAACACAAGGACTAGATAAGTGTTTAACCCTATCCCTACGCCTGGGGTCATTTTGTACCCCAGGGGTTGTATTTTTCACATTTTACAATCCTTCTCGTGCGAAGATCTCTTTGAAACTTTCAGTATTTCTCAAAAAAGCATTTTGACAGACTGCTACGCAAAGCGGACGGATTGGATTAACGAGTAAATTTCCTCTTTGGAAAGTTCCTCACACCGGTTGGATACGATAGTACAGATAGGGGTAATCTTAAGGTTATACAAAAATAACAGTAAAACAAAATCACGAGCGAGAAGAAGTATGCAAAAAGAGGAAACAGGCTAAAGGCGTGAGGATGGAGAAATAGAGACAGTGAGTTGGAAGGATAAAGTATACCTATATATTGTGGAACATGCTTCAGTTCTTTGCTGCCCTTCACTGTGTGCAGCGGTTTGTCATGACGAAGAGCCTGCAAGTCTTGAGGGTTGTCATCAAAGTAAGACTGCAGACATACAACACAGAAAAATAAAGGTCAACTTTATTTTCCAACATACAGCCAGTTGTGGAGTTAAGTGGAAACTAACCAAATCTGAGATTTAAAATAAAAATTATTCAATGTCTAAAAGCTTTATATACAATATATTCTTTACAGCTTTAATAAGCTTGCTATACTTATTAAAACTGGTAAAAATAAAGTGGACATATGACAAGTAGCATCAAGATACATCCCGTTTATCTTGAAATAGCTCACTATCACTGCATCTTGGTACACTTTCGAAAAATCTTCTCACAAGCCTCTGTACCCAACAAAAACAAGTTAACATGTATAACTACATTATTATTATGTTGTCTCAGCTCTCGTGGAGAAATAAAATCCCCACTTCCTACTCCAGCAACAAGTTCAGTTATAATAATAGCGTTTGTCATAATGAGATGGGCAGTTCTCGAGATGGGTATACCAAAAAAAAAAACATGTGAGTTCTTTTCCTTACCCTCAATTTGTCAGAGTTGAAAATTTCCTGTCTTACATCTTTCAACCGCGCTTCCTGAATTGCTGTCCTGGTAACAGCTTGGAGTGCATCCTAGAAAGAAATAGGAAACAATCGTTTAAAAAACAAAAAAAGCAAAAAAACCAGGAGAGATTTTGGGGATCTTGAGTTAAGTAAAGAGAAACAGATCAACCCAATAATGGTATAACAGTGCAGGGAATAAGCAAGACAGATAGACAGAAACAACAAAGGGGAGGAGAAAAAGTAGGACCTACCAGTAGTGTCCTCCAACCACCTGCATTGAGATTTTAAAGTTGTGCTAATGATTATTTTGTCGGCACAAGAATCAAACTCAAGTAAGTTACAGAAACAGTAAATATAGATGGCCAAGAGCTTCCCAGAGAGGGAAAAAAAAATTCAGGAGGCCTAACCATCTCATCTCGATCTAAAACATCCAATTGTCACTAACCTGCCCCACCTCTGCCACGCCCCTCCTTACCCTAACACCCACCATCATCAAGATAATTGCGATTGAAGGAGGTGGGGGGCAACTTGGTGTTAGAGGTAAAAGTAAAATTAACGATAAAATGGCTGCCAAAGTTTGTGGCTTGCAAACCTTGAAAGTTTTCAGTAACTGCAAATTTTTATTTATTGGGCCATTGATAAATATTTTTTTGTAAAATCTACACAAAAGAGTTTTGAAATGGACGTAAAAGGTGATGAGCCCCCCCCCCCCAATTGCTCTCAGCGGGCAGAAAAATACTGGTTTCTTCGATTACACCACGCTGCAACATAAATAATAGGCTCTGCGAATGAAAAAATCCAAAAAATCACCGTATATGTGGTGGAAAACCACAGAATATACCAGCAAACCATCCTGCAGCAACCTAAACAATTGTATCATCTTCAGTCAAATTTCCTTCTTCACTACCAAGCAAACACACTGTCCTCTAAATAAAGCTGAATTATACCTTGGCTCTGTACCGGAACCCTTCAATTTCTTCCATTTTAAAGTTGTAGGGTTTGAACACATTTTCCGCGTCATCACCTGAAAAGACAAATATGTATGCACAATGAGAATATTTGTGTTAACAGGAAAACATCCTTCAAACATTACAAGAATAACTCCCTCACCAAAGAAGAAGAAGAAGAAGAAGAAGAAGAAGAAGAAGAAGAAGAAGAAGAAGAAGAAGAAGAAGAAGAAGAAGAAGAAGAAGGAAGAGGAGAAGAAGCAGCAGCAAACATATAAACAAACAACCCCCCCCCAAACAACAACAACCATTTCAATCTTAGTATCAAATGAGGCTTTTCTTGAACAGGTGCTAAAATCAACAGTGACCTACACTCTCATCTAACTAGAAGTTTTGACCACATAGCAATAGTCTCCCTTGAGATGACTTTAACTTACTGTTGTCTCCACTGAGAGCTTCCTCCACTTTCTTCAGCTTTTCTGCATCTTTGATGCTCACAAAGGATAGGGCTGTGCCTTGGTTGTCCGCTCTTGCAGTCCTGGAGAAAATTTTTTTAAATAAAGCAGTCTGATAAGTGTTGGCCCTAAAATTGTAGAAAGAAGACTCATGACATGGAGCAATATTTGATGAGAAATTGCTATTATCGAAGTGAGCCGTGCAAGACTAATATTAATATTAATGCTTTCACATCAGATAAAATATCAGTTCACACAACGAGTCATATGGGCCTGTCTTTTTCATTCTACTTTCAACATCAAACAAAGGACTGGTTCAGTTAGTCGAGGGTCCCTTCCTTCATGAAATAAGTAAAAAAGTTACATCCCAACTCAGGCTAAACTTTGCATGAAATAAGGCCTTGGCTACGAAAGAATATTTTAAATAATATGCATTTGAAAGTGATTCCTTTCCCGGTATGGAATCTGTCCCAAATCAGTTGATGACACCTGGAAAGTTAATGATGTTTGAGCTAGACCATCAAACTGCTACAGAGGAACTCATAATAAATAAAAGTGCACATAGCAAGAAGCTGACAATAGCAAAAAAAACCCCTAACTTATTGGGATTTTTCACTCACAACATTTGGAATTACACATATTTATAATGCAACCAGTAAAAACAGTTTAAACAAACTACAACACCAAAAGCATAGGTGAATAGGAAAGTGCCTTCGTACTTGCTTGAAAACTGTATTGCAATTATTCCAATGAACCAAAGTACAACAATATTGGTTTAGTTTTAGCAAGAGTTTTACAGCATTTGCAGCACAATTAAGTCATATCAGAGCTGAAATATAGAGGTGGTACCAACCAGAGCACACGCCAACCATCTGCTATGACAATATTATATTAGATCATTCAAGCTCCATTTTTCAACTCATGTACTAAGGCAGCATTTTTGACTATTGATCGTATTTTTAATGAGATTACAAACACTTGTGTAACTATAACCAGCAGAATTTTCTCTCGTTTCATTTCTTTAATCACAACCACAATAAACACTTCCTTGATTTTCTCTATTGTTCACCACCACCAAAGTATTGACAAATAAACACTCTGGATACTGAAGCAGCATAAATTTACCTTTGAATTTTCATGGCACAGTTCATTCCAAGCATGATTTCAGTACTGGCCATTTTAAATGTATGTATAGTATAAGGTTTTACGGCGCTCGCAACTGCTAAGGTCATATGGTCATTTTAAAGACAAAATATCCAAGGGCAAATGAATCAAATTCAACAACAGATGAACACATACCTGCCAACACGGTGAATGTAGGAGTCCGAAGTCTTCGGGAAATCAAAGTTGAGGACATTTGAAACATTGTAGAAATCTATTCCTCTGGACACCCCATACTCTTTGTCTTGTTTTCTGAATCTGAAACCATATATATGGAATAAATATGTTAAGGACATAATAGAAAGAATTTGTGTAAAAATCAACAACACATTTGAAGAGCATAGATCCAATTGGGTGGTCATAATGAGCACATCCTAGACTTGGTGGTGAACAAATAAAGAACATGACAAACAGACATTGCAAATGAGGCTCTGTCTCGTTCAGAATATGCACAACTTTTTTTAAGGAAATTTTTTTCGATACTAAGAAAAAAGCCCAGATGTCTATTGTCACAGTTGGCAATTAAGAATATGTCAGAAACATAGAATATTTTTTTAAAGAGAAAAGTGAACTTTTTTAATGCTTTCAAATAAGTAACAACAATTAACAATATATTTTAATAAAAAATTTCAGTACGCCATTGTCTGTCACCTTAGAAAGCCCTCCTGTCAATGTGCCCAGCTCAAGAACACACTGCTGTAGTCACTTGCAAAAAACCCCCCTGCCCCACAGGCAAACAGTTATGCCAAATAAAATACCCGGTGCCAATTGGCAAGATTCGTCCCGTTCGTTTGGTCGTCAGGGCTAGCCAGATTTTCCTCCATGGAGAAAAGCTACCAGCAGGGCACAACCTGAATGTAACCGATGATGACCTACAAGAACAAACATGTTTGTTTTCAAGTCCGTAATTTGTTAGAGGCAGAGATCTGTCAATAGTGAACATTGAAGCTGCTAGAAACATAACTAAACCAAACCGATCCTCCAAAGGGCAACGCCTATAAGAATGAAATTCTGAAAGTACACTAAATACCTCTTGGACTTTTGTTTCTGTCTACTTTCCACTGGAGCTGGTAGACCCTCGGTTGTTGTCTCATCAGATGCTATGATGTAGTCATAAAGACCATCATTGAACTGGTTCACAATGTGGCACCTTGAAACAAAAAAAAAAAAAGACAAGAAAGTCTTTAAAGAAAATAATCCATTTTGGGAGACACTGGGCGAACACCAACACCGATACTTCTAACCTGGCCCTTTTTTTCAACAAAGAGAGGGAGTATAAAAGTGTGAAATGACACAGATTACATGATACAAGTAAAAGCGAAAAGAAATGACAAAATATATTGAACTGCAAAGAAAAAAATGCTTATGCAAATGAAATGGTAATGTCAAAACAATAAACAATTGTACAACAAAGTTAGCACCAGAAGAATGACCGAAGAAAAGTAAGATATATCTAGCTTACCAATTCATATGTGAGGCAGCGTGGTGGAATCAGGCTCTCGTCAAAATAATCAAAGTGAACAAACTTGCATTTTCCCCGCAGGTTTGTGAATTTTTATCAAAATTTTGTTTTGGGGCTGAACACCTTTCATGCCCATTAAAAAACTCATTTCTGTGTGGATTTTTCTGAAAACGTTGATTAAATGCACAAAAGATGTAAATTTTCCGTTACCACGGACTCTTAAGCTAAGGAAATAACTAATCTTTGGCGGCCATTTTCTCACTAATTTTACCTCTGAAAACAGGTGACCCCCACCTCTTTCATTCTCAAATGTCCCGACTTGTATTTAAGAAAAACGGATATTTTTTCTTCCAAATAAAGAAGACAAGTGAAGAAGCTTTAAGATGATACCAATAACTCTATGTGCCCAAAAATTGACGAGAGCCTGATTCCACCACGCTGCCTCACATATTAATTTTTAAACAATCATAGCAACGCAAGAAAACCTGTGCAAGACAACAAAAAAAACCTTTCTCAAAATTTTAAAATTTCTGAAAAGCAGTAAAAAATAACAACAAATAAACCCAGACATAAAATGAACCTTATGGAAACATACCTTGAGTTGACTGGCAATTCAGAATTCAGTATACACGCACGGATCCCAAACTGCTCCAAGAACAACTTCAACCTGGGGAACACATAAAGTTTGAGAATGTTAAAGCGACTCTATCGTCTGCAAATCCTGTAAAATAGAAACTTCTCAATGACCACCAAAATGAAAGTTACAAATGCAATGTATAGTCAACCCTTCTATACAGCTGTGAATGCTGGACAATCACTAAAGACAGTGAAAATAAAATAGAAGCAACAGAAATGTGGTTTCTTAGGAGACTGCTAAGAATATAGTGGAAGGAATAGAAATCAAAAGAGGTAGTGTTGATGAAGCCCACGTGGGACGCTCATTGTTAAAAACAATCAGGAAACGACAAATGCAGTATTTGGGACACCTGAATACACATAAAGGTCTTGAGCATCTAGCTCTCACTGGCAAAATTGAAGGCAAATGAGGCAGGGGTAAGCCCAAAGCAACATACTTAGGGAACCAAAACAAATGGGTAACGGGGAAAGATCGGGAGAAATGTAGCTTTTTTAAGAGCATCCGAGCAAAGGAATGAATGGAGAACCATGATTGCTGATGTTTGTCGCAGATCTGGCACAGAATGATAATGACCACCTGCCAATTTTTCATACATTTGTTGCTGAAGTAACCCTTAAGAGAGCAGCTGTAGAATGTAAAATTAAGAACAAGTTTCTTCTTCTGTAGTAGAAGAGTTAGAAACAGGACGCTTAAAATTATGATGTAGAAAGCCAACAATTATTCCCTTTCCCCCCCTAGTCTTAATGAACACTCAACGATGGATTTTCATGCTTCACAGGCATATTCACCCAACTTACTGATAACATTTGTTCACCGAATTCACAAAGAACATCGTTTTCCCTCGGACCAGGTTCAACTTCAGGAGGGCTGCAACCAAGGCAAACTTGTCCTTTTCTTCACACCTGAAAAATATATGCAACACAACATTAATGTATTCCAATCTACAAAACCATATTTAACTACGTGTTGGTTGTAAAAACCTGTTTGTAAAAAGACAGCAACAAGTCAACTTCTAAAGGAAACTAAGTTTTAAAAAATCTTTGACAATATCTACAATGCATCAACTGAATACAAAAAAATTGCATCCGTAATCAGATTAACCAAAACTAAACTAAGGCTTGTTGAAGATGCCCTCTCTATTTCGACTTTGTAGAAAAAAGATTTCAGGGCATTCATTGGCTGACCGATCGTTAGAGTATTTTGTTGTCAAATGACATTTTTATAGATATCATTTCATAAAGCGATGAAAATGTATGATATTCCATTTTCCCATGACGTCTCAATAACACTTGAAGAATAAGAAATAAAAATCCATGGTTTTTGTCCATGCAAACATATAACCACCAACACATTTTTCTGTTTTATCATAGAAGTTAGCATTTCATAGGCTTGTATGCCTGGCAAAACTGTATCCAAACTTAAATATGTGTACTAAAAAGCTGAAGCTATATTTATTTCTTTGTTCTCCTACTGCTCTGACCAATTTTTTAGAGCGCCATTTTTCACTTTTAACAATGGGTGGCCATTCTAGTTTCGACTGTATATGAAAGAAAACTCACTTTATGTGATATTGGTTCAACTGTGATGCTTCTGGCAACTGAGACTCTTCCAGGCGAAGAACAACCTATGGAAACACAATATAGTATGATTTTTTTCAAGGTATAGAATGGAGATAACTACATTTAAATACCAAAAAAAAGGAGGTAAAAACAAGAGACAAAAGAAAGAAAACCCCCCAAAAACTGACAAACTGAACATAATAAATATAATGCCTGCTGCAATAACTTTCTCCTTCTAGATGAACGATCTGAACTCAAAGAAAAAAACAAAACAAAATAATGCAACAAAAAAACATTCCCAGAATGCTATGTGTAAGGCATTTAACGAAGAGACTATTTTCTTGCCCTTGAAAAAAGTTTAACAAAAAAATGGCAAAATGAAAAACGTTTTTGCTTTACTCATATACTTCTACCATGCATATATCTAATTCATTTGTCATGTCATTTCATAGACAAAAATTTCTCCTGACAGAAAGGCTCCAAAGATCTCTGAGTTTATCCCAGCTCTCACTGAATGTGGCAGCATGGACAGAAGATACATAAACGGACCCCACCCAGTTGCATGTTCTGAACCCTCTATCCCAAAGCAGATTTTGGGGCCCCGTTTACATTTGAGTGAAGAAATGAAAAATCACAAAAAGTATCTTTTCCCATACACCTTCTAAACCTTGCACTATCAGGAACTGAACTCAAGAATTTTAGACTGTGAACTTGGCAGTCCAACTAATTCCACACCCACTACATAGGATCAATAGAAAACTGATTTTCCTTTCAAAGCAATTCAGCACTTACTGCATTGTGCAAGACCATTTTCTTCAGACTTTTCACATCATCATCCAGGGTTGCAGACATCATAAAAGCCTGATAAATCTTTGGAAAGTTGCTGTGGGATACGAGAAAGTCAAAATTATGAAAAAAATCCACAACATCATGACTGATTGATAGCAATATTAAGAAAACAATTGAAAAGACCATGGCATAACAAAATGAAAAAATTATTGACCCAGGATAAATTATAACTGAGTTTAGGAACAAAACCACATTCAGTTCCTGAGTGAAAAAGAAAAGGACGCTTTATCCCTAACAAGGTACAATTAATAATTATATTTATAGAAGCCACGGTCCTCAAAATTTTAAGTGATTGTTGTTATGAACTTTTAGAGATAAAAAGTACCATTAAATTAACAAGATGACTACATCTGAGAAGTCACTGAAAAAAATAAATGCAATACAAAGCTTTATAAAAACGAGGAACCTTCTGTTTCCCTTAATAGTATTAGATGAAAAAAATATGTTCGATATTTGATGAAAACAAGAATGGCGGAAAAAAAAAAAAGCCATACTCTAATAATTCCTTGATGTCTCCTTCATATCCAAAAGAAAACACTAGATCAGCTTCATCAACCACAAGCATCTCCAGACTTTCTTTTACATCCACATTTCCAGCTCGCACATGAGCAAGGAGACGACTTGGAGTGGCAACCAAAATATCTGGTTTTTCGATCAACACAGACCTGAAACAAAAAGTTCACGGCACAAACATATGAAATTCATTATGCGATTATGACATTTACCGTAAGATGAAAACTTAACAATGGTATTAGGGATTACTGCGAGGGCAACTTCAATATGTCACAAATTTTCTAGGAACACCAACAAACGCATACAACTTTCTATTTAGGTGCACAGATAACACCAACCAAATTGCACAGCTCTTTTAAAACCTTGGTATTTTTCCTTGACCCGAACAAGACGCAACAATTTCTCTTGTATCTTTGTGAATCATCAACAGACAAAAACGGAAAATCATTTTGTTATTTATGGCAATGCAATAAAACTAAAACATAATACTTAATTTCACATACATACATGCAAACAAACACACACTTTTTTTAATCACCCTGTTTTACCTTTGTGATGCCAGTGGCACTTGTGGAGATATATCTGTACACCTGATGTCTCTTGAGCATCCAACAGTGAGTTCCTGAATAAACGCAGTTTGAGAAATCTATCAGTTTACAAAGTGAAATAATGTTTGTAAGACATAAGAAAGTAAGTTCGACAGAAAAATGTACTTCTATTTAAATGTATTTCTTCTTGGACAGTTAGCTATTTGTGGCTACACTATCTATAACTGAGGATGGAATGGCATTCGTCCACCTGACGAATGCCATTCTAACATAGCATATAATTAACTTGAAGGATGGGAATACATCTCCTGAAAAATTAGTGGTTGTAGACAATCAAAGATTATATGGTACTCACCAAAATGTTTCTGAATGCTTGATTACAAAGCTCCTTTGAGGGTGTCAAGATAATAGCTCTTGTAGCTTGTTGAGCAGCAGTCTGTTGATAATAAAACAAAGAATCAACTAATAAATGACATTTGTCTCTTTACACACACTTTACAGTACCGGTATAGGGTTAGGGACGTTACAAGTGATCAGCATCATGAATTGCATTGAACCAACTGACTAATTATAGATCTATATATATATATATACAAGCACTCTTTAAATAGCATTTCAGTACGATTTCCTCTTTACATATAAAAACATCTTTCTATAGTAAATAATTCTTTTGCTTGCTAAAAAAGTTTTAGAACAGGGAGGGATTACGATGAACACAGTAATCTAGAGCACACGTTCAGAAATCAAAGCATGACACTATTTAGCTAACATTATTACTGATGCTGCAAAAAACGCACTCTACTTGATAAATGGCCGGTTTTTAAATCCAAGAGGATCCTACACATCTTTCAGGTTTAAGCAGGATACATTACCTGTTTAATGTGGAGCAATTTCTGGATTACAGCAATTGCATAGGCTGCAGTTTTTCCTGACCCTGTGCGTGCGCGTGCTAGGATATCTTTTCCTTGTAGAGCAAGTGGTATGGCCTTTTCCTGTATGGGTGTGGGTTGTGACCAGCCAAGTTTGGAAATGGCCTGTGAATGTCAAAAGAAAATTGATAATTTAAAAGGCTAACAGTAAAATAAGTTAACACGGTCACAGAACCTGCTTTAAAAAGAATATGACACGAACGATTAACTTCGTTTTTAAATAAACATTCAGACCACACAGATGAGATGTCACCGCAGACTCCTTGACATCTCGTACAAAGACCACGTTTCAAATGCCGAAGTATGAAAGAGAATCACCAACGCAGTGGGACAATATGAAGATCTACTGACCACAGTGAAAAGATGAAAACTAAATGGTATGGGCATGTCACAAGATCCACAAGACTTGCCAAAACAATCCTGCAAGGAACCGTACAAGGAAAGAGAAAGAGAGGAAGGCAGAGAAGGAGATGGGAGGACAACATTAAAGAGTGGACAGGAAAAACGATGAGTGACAATCTGAGGAGAGCAGAGGACAAAAATAGATGGCGAGAGCTGGTTTTCCAATGTAGTGGTGCCCCAACGGTTGCCCCAACCACGGGATAGAAGAAGAAGAAGAAGAAGAAGAAGATCATCATTGTAAGAAGTTAAATCTACCAACTTCATCAAATCAAAAACTTAAGGCTTAAGGTTCCAGGCAACCCTTCAATGAGAGTAGGAGTATAATAAATAAGCTGTGTTGGGATAATCAGGAAGATTAAAAGTAAAGAAATCAATACAAATAAAGTATTGAGAATTGCCACAATTCTAAAACGCTAAAAATGTCTATCATATAATATCAGTAGATTATACCGCAGAGTTCAGATGTCGCAGCAGAGATGTCATTGATAAGACCTGTCAAAACACTTCAGTCAGTTAGTTATGAATCTTGGTTTCTTCTTTGTTGCTGTAAGAAACAGCAATGAGTCTGCAGATTGTTCAAACTCAAAGTAGAACAAAACTTGAATGGCTTAGTAGACCTATCCATGGTGAGAGTTGTAAGAACAGAGGGAGGGCAAAATGCAGTGACACTGAAAATCTGCCAATCTTGAATAGAGAAAGCTAAAATATAGTTACAATTTATCATCACCCATCCATTGAAAAGCGAACACTAGTTCAATAACAAGGCTTACAAGTATGACAGATCCTGATTCCACACACTGCCTGCACCAGCGCGCACTTTGCAGAGTTCAAATCAAAATCCTGACATTTGCTTTTTACGAGTGGTCACGGAAAATTTTCTTCTCTAAAATTGTCTCCTTTCACCCCCTTTCCTGCTCTCTTGCAATGCAATGTTCTGTCGTCCGCTTTCATCTCCACTTTCTGCCCCCATCCCCTCACTTCCTTTGCTCCCTCCTCTGGTTTTTATTTCTACTGCTACTCCTTGGCTTCTTACTGCTGTCTTTCAGCCACACTCCTGATCTTCTGGTAGGAAAGATCTACACCTAGCCTTCTCGGTAGGGCGAAAAATCTTGGAGGTCCAGTGTACAAATAGCGCACGTTAAAGATCACTGGGTGGTCTAAAATCCGAATTGATAGGAGTATATTCTAGGTTTTGGCCTTCACCTGGGAAAAATTAAAATTTTCCTACCAACTGAAAATGTTTAATGCGTCCTGCGCGCTGTTCATATGACCATGCCTTATGCAGTTAAAAGTGCCATAACATAAAAAAACACTTAGATCTAGGCTAGAACTAAATTAGATCTAGACTCTAGGCTAGATTTATCTTAGCCTAACTTAAAAAAAGGAAGTGGCTATTCTCACCCGGGGTGAGAATAAAAATACGATCTACCTCTCACCCCGGGTGAGACTTGCCAGCGAAGGCTATTCTCACCCGGTGTGAAACAAGACCTGTTTTTCCTCATTTTGGAATACTGTCTATCGGTGTGGATGATCAAATTGATAAAAGCCAAGAAAAAAATTACGTTATAGCACAAAAGTAAGCTAATTTGATTGTCTTCAAAGATGCTATGGCTATTTCACTTTTCGAATCGAGCCGAACTATGCGGGTCGCCATTTTGTTTTGCCCGGAAGTTCTCGCAAGATCTACTCCTCCCCCTCTCTCTGTCTCTTTCTGAATACTGTCTATAGGTGAGGACGATCACATTGACAAAAAACAAGGTTTAAAAATGATGTTAAAAAACAAAACTAAATTAATTTGGTTGTCTACAAAGATGCTACGGCTATTTAACTTTCCGAATCGAGCCGAACTACGCGGGTCGCCATTTTGTTTTGCCCGGAAGTTCTCGCGCTACTCCTCTCTCTCTCCACAGACAAAATTGCACGCTTTTAGGCTAACACTTTATCCTACAGTAGTAATAGGTCTAGAACGTTTGTTCACAGCACAGAATTTTCTAATTCTGTTATCACAGAGTAGAATTCTGTGGTTCTGGGCGAACGCTTCACTGGTTGGCCTAGGCTATAACGGTGAACGCCCACCGGGTGAGAATAGCCAAAAGACTCGCCTGCGTTATTCTCACCCCAGGTGAGAATAGAGGTTGCCTAAAAAAAACCCACCAGCATAGGAAGGCACTTCGATAGCAGCGTGCGAGAACTGGGTCACGGCTGCCGGCAGCAGTCAGTGTTTTCGTTTGCCAGTCTCTACGTTTCCGTTTGCGGGTCTTGTCGGTAATCCCTGTTTTGTAAACGTTCGGGACACATCATGACTCATCATCCCGCTATTTTTGTAGAGCTTTAAATGCCACATCGTTGGTACCGCGTTCATTCAGAAAAGTTAGTAGGTTAGGATGCTGTTCTGCCGAGGGTGCTCTTATCTGGGTTGGGGATAGCCTACTAGATCTACATCTATGATCTAGATGTCTAGTACTACTACTACTCAGACTCTGCTGTATCTTAGAGTCTAGATCTAGATCTAGATCTAGATCTAGATCTAGTCTAGTAGTAGTAGAGCTCGATATCTAGATCTTGATCTAGATCTAGAGATCTAGTGTGTATCTAAATGTAAACGACAGATCTAGATTCTAGATCTAGATATCTAGATATATCTAGATCTAATCTAGATCTAGTGAGCCAAAATTTATGAAAGTATGAGTTGGCCCTTCTATGGCTATGGAAAGAGAAAGTTAAAGTAAGAAACCAGAAATCTACCTCGAGTATTCGATCGTCGACACCCATCTCGTGAAACTGAACGGTGTGTTCATCTTCATCCTCAACAGAAGTTGAAGCCATATCTGGTTGGGCTTTTTTTTTCAATGCTGAATCGTTCCTCGATTTACAAAGTGAAAGTAGAGAATCTAGAATCTAGATCTAGAGTCTAGATCAGCTAGAGATCTTGTTATTTTCACACTTCTACAGGAAACGTGGTCTTCGATAGTGGTGCAATTGATCGATCAAATTTTTCGATTAACCGAGCAAGATTCTTGGTCGAGTAAATCGACCAAAGTGGTTTCTTGACCGAGCGAGACATCAATCAAACGCCAAAATGAATTGTCGCTATCAAACAAACGCGAAACCCATATTTTGTCATTGCATCGTTTTGAAAACCAGCAAACTTCAAACTTTTAACAAAGTGCAATAAGCATTTACGATTTCATAAAATGTATTTTTATCCTCATAGTAGAATCTGTTATAATTATCCAATATAAAAGCCTGTATCATTTTCAGTTTTTGACGGTCGTGTTTTTATGTTCGCCATTTAGGCTTTCCGGAGGATGGTGCTCCTGGGTAACTCTCAAACAGGCAATTATGAAACTTCCTCGAACAAACATCAATCAAACGCCAAAACTAATTGTCACTATCAAACAAATGCGAAACGTAATATTTATCTTTACCTCATTTTTAAATACGACAAACTTCTTGCTTTAAAGAGAATTAAATAACAGTTATAATTCTGTAAGATGTATTTTTAATATAATAGTAAAACTGGGAGCTCATTATTAAGTACAAAAGCTAGTGTCCTTTTCAATTGTTGACTGCCACGGTTTTGTGTTCGTTATTTAGGCTTTTGGGATAATGGTGCTCCTGGCTCCTGAGTAAACCTCAAACTGGCAATGATGAAACTTGTTCGAACAAACAGCAATCAAACGCTAAAATTACTCGTTGCTGACAAACAAACGCCAAACATATTTTAACGTCATAGCATTAATCAAAATAGAATAAAGTCGTATATTTCAATTATAAAATAGCTGCCCAAGAGTACATTTACTATCAGATACACAATTGGGAATCTTGTTGAATGTCAAACCCAGCAGCCACTCTTTATTTTTAGACTTTCGCGGTTTTTTAAAACTGCACTGAGGGTAAGAGACATTGAAATGGCTGTGCTCCTGACTGGAAAACCAACAAATTGGCAAATGTCTCGCGCCACCAGCACGAAAGCGAGACAAGTGTGTCAACTTATCAATATTCATAACGGAACATTTTATTTTTAGATCTAGCCAGGTTTATAATGAGGGTCATTTCATCATATCTTTTCGCGCTAGGTCGTTCTCTTCAAAAAGCATATATGGTACCATTTTCTAAATGATTTACTGACAGTACAGCAACAACAATATAAAAACATATTAAAACCCATAAACCCAGGCCCGTCCAACATGCCAGCTGCAGAATCGTAGGCTTACTAGATCTACGTCTGGGCCTACATGACCTTGAGACACATCGTCTGTAGGCTAGATCAGTGTTGTTGTTGTTTTTACTTTGTCCGATCAGCTTATTTATATCATGCAAACCAGTGACCCACTGGCATCTATACAAACCAAGTCTTTATTTCAGTTCCTCTTCATTTCTCTCTGCTCTCATTCTGACTTCGTAAGCCAGAATATTTCGTCCCATCTCTAGACTTGTTCACATTCTCAATCTTAGTAATTTGGATGCTTTCCTCTTTTTACTTAAATTAATTTACAGTGGCGTCGGTGGCCTAGTGGTTAGGCTCTCGGACTCGCAACCGTAAGGTCGTGGGTTCGAATCCCGTCAAGGGCCCGACGTTGTGTCCTTGGGAAAGGCACTTTACACGAATTTTCCTCACTTCACCCAGGTGGGAATGGGTACCCGGCTATAGACAGCGAAAGATCTTGTCAGTTTGTTAGTGTATGAGCGCTTAAATGGCTGCTCGCACTGTATGCTTCCCGGGAAGCTGAGAATGTTTCGGAGTGTTCTATGGTCTGCTGGGGTAATAATATAGTGTTAAAGCGCATAGAGCCTGCTGTTGAGCGGGGATATGCGCTATACAAATGTTATCTATTATTATTATTATTAATTTCAACGCTTCGACTTTGATCTGCAACTTGTTATTCTGTATTACTGTACAGATTTTTGTTTCTGTGTCTAGATCTTTACTTTTCTTGAAAAACACATAGAATAAATACCAGCACAATGAATTAGCCTAACCTATTCATAAAATATGCTCGATCTGGGCGAAGAAGCAAAAAAAAGGAGGTAAGATTGAAGAATAGGCCTACCGGACCGGCGGATTAGGACAGCTTTTGCCTATGTCTCGACAACCTTAGGAATCCATGATTTTCCCCAGTTTTTATCCACTTTCTCTCTCACACAGGTAGGCCAAGCTTAGACACCCCCCCCCCCCATTCTCTCGCAATAATACGAGTGGTCCGGTATTCTTCAATCTTCCCGAAAGGAGCAATAAAAATACATATTAAACAAATTAACTAACTTTGCACGCTTCTTCTAGATCTACAAGTTAGTACAACTAGATCTAGACTCTTATTTTTATACCGCACGAAGCGACGAAGACCAAAAGCTGTTTTTAGATCCAGACATCAGACCAAAAGCTGTTTTTAGATCCAGACATCAGCTGAAAAATGCGTGCTTACAGCGCAGCTGCGATGACTTTTGACCCCTGCTCGATCTAGATTTCCTGGTCGAGAAAAAATTTTTCGGTCAATTTCATCGGTTAACCGAACAATTTTGCATTTAACCGATCATTACTCGACCAAGATTTTTCGCTTACTCGCACACCACTAGTCTTCGAGACTTCTTCCGATTAGATTTGCTGAGAAGAGTAGAATAGGCCAAGAGAGTGACCGAACTTTAACAATAACCGGAAGTCTCAAACTCTACGGATTCTTTGCAAAACCACCGCTCATTTTTCTATTCGCATTATTCTACTGTTTGTAGCCATTCATTAAAGAATGTTAAGAAAATGGGACAACGTATAGATGGCTGCAACAAATAAATTTCTCTTCCAGAGAACTGTGTTATCAAGCAGACCCTCTAATAAAACTTAAATAGATTATTGATCCAGTTTTAGCAAATGCATTCTTTCATCGTCTTATAAGTTATATGCGAATAATTACGAACACGAATGATTTTTTTTATAGTGCTAGACCGGCTATAAGTGTTGTAGTTTTGTTTACAAACACAAACAGATCAGATCATTGCATTACCTCTCTATCTTTTCATGACATAATAGGGCAGCCTTGTATGGACACAAAACTTCATTCAGAGAGAAAAAAATGGCTAGTCAAGAGAGTTTCAGACGAGGGGACGCAGTTATATTTATAGTTCCTCATAAAATTCAGCGGAAAAGACTTGAGGACATGAAGATTTCAATGAAAAAGAAGAATATTCCTCTGGCTGAATCTCTTGGGTTTGTTCATGATTTTTTTTTTCAAGCGATATCCCTGGTGTTTTTCTGTTACAAGCTAAGTCAAGTCGCAAGCGAACAGTTGACCCACTTGTACTTGTTTTATTTTGTAAAAAGTTTGGTGCAGTTATATTATGTGCGATACTTTTTGAGCTGTGACGTTACCTCTGCATTAGGCCTAAGGATGGGCATTAGTCGATATTCAGTGATCATGTTGGGCGCGATCTGTCGATTTGCGCGATCCATCGACCGCGCAGCGCATTTGGTTGATCGAGGAAACGCGCGACAATCCATCGATTGTTGCGCATTCTGTTGATCAGCGGAACGCGCAGCGCTTTTTGTCTTGTCGATCCGTGAAATATATATACTTAATTCGCATTCTGTCGATAAACTATGATGATGAAGTGAATTTTAAAAAAAAGGAAATTGGTTTACTGAGCACGTCAGTCTTTGAGTTTGAGCATCCAAGAAGAGTTGTGTGATGAACTTAAAGTGTTGACGGTTGAGTAAGGCAGTTAAATTGACACGACGTTAAATCGAGCACCTGAACTCAGTATTTGGACAATGTGATTGGCTGCGTACTTCAGGTGGTATTCCAAATACGGTCAAGATTTAATGGCTTGTGATAAATTGTTGTGTTTTGATTAATCATTTATTATATCCATACACAAGTATTGTTTTCTTTATTGTTTCCTTGAACAAGAGCACCTCGAGCACAACCAAACTCTCCTTATTGAATAAGGGTTCGGAGTGATACTCACCGACCTATAAGTATAGTATAGGCCTAACCCTGATTGCACTCTCATTAGATCTACCCAATAGCAGTGTCTAAGTACACGATAACCGACAACTAAGGGTCTTTCCACCACCACTACAGCATCATCGCTACTTCCGCTACCATTTTTCTTTCCACGTGTTTAATTTGATTTTGTTGAGTGTTGAGTTTTTCTGTAATTTTAAAAAAAAATCACAGCGCACAAAACCGACAGCTCTGGCCCCTTCCCAACACCTCTTCCCCCATAAGCCGAGAGTGCGATATATCGCTATGCGCAGTCTCATTGGTCGAAACAATTAACTTTGCCCCCGGCAAGGCCAGCTCAACTTAGTTTTGTTCATACTAATGATGACGCAGGGAGGGCCAGTTTAGATAGATCTAGTAACTGGATATTAAAGCTCACGTCTCAATTGTTATCATTATAATCGAAAAAAATGTTAATATATGCTGGAAATATTTAGAAACAAGGGTCGGAAGTCGGAACGGACATCATACTGGACTCAAATCAGAGTCCGAATATAATTTTTGTCTATTCGGACTCGAATTGTCACTTCAATTATTTCGTTATTGTAACCCTGACTTCCAGTTACTTCCATTCAGTTTCGGTTTGACTTTGGAGAGTGAAACTAAATTACACGCTGGACGACATCAAAACATAGCAAAACTCAGGGGTAAGATCTATAGAATGCGCAACCAAACGGATTGACAAAAAGCGCTGCGCGATTCGCTGATCAACAGAGTGGGCAACAATCGATGGATTGTCGCGTGTTTCCTCGATCAACCAAATGCGCTGCGTGGTCGATGGATCGCGCAAATCGACAGATCGCGCCCAACAATCATGCAAGATGATCCACTCTTTGAGCCAGTTAAAAAAGTGTCCTCAAAATTCGGTGGCGCTCTCTTCGCAAATGCGCCCCCCTTTGCGAACAGAGTTACACTATTTGTGTGAAAAAAATCAAAGTGAAACTACAAGTTTTTTAATAAATAAGAATTCAAATTTCGGAAGAATGCTTTTTTAATCCGGAAGAGGCGACTGTTTTCTTCATTTAATTTGACTTTAGAATGAGAGGCGAGAGGTCATTAAATTTTTTAAAAACCTAAAACTTCGCACTGAACGAACCCGAACAGCTGATGAACTGCAGTCGATCTGCACATGCTAAGGAGGTGCTATTCCTATTCTTTTTCTGGAGAAACGAAAGAGAGTTTCAAAACAAAGACTGACGTGACATCTGAAGCAATGAGCGGACTTCCGGCGGACACTTTTTTGGCTGAGTGGACCATCTTGTTTTTTACGATCTTTGTCGAATAAACCAATCACGATCAGTACAAGTACTGGTATGGACCTAGAAATTCAGTATCAATGGATACCCAGTACTGGTTAAGGAAATTGTTTGAAAACAAGGGACACAACGCTTGTAGGCCTAGCCTATATCAAAATGTACTAGATCTAGGCCTATTGTAAATTCAAACCTACTGACGAATTTATATTCTCAGACTTCTGACATCTGACAGAGGAATGACAAGAGGCCTCTATAGTAATAATGGCTGAAACCATGAGAGTGTACTCCTCTACTATAGTATATGTATGTAAGAGAAGACAAAAAGTATTATATCCATCCCTTGTTATCTCAGTTACTGTTTAAGGTTTCGAAAAGGAAGGGTCTTCCTTCGTTTCTCTAAAAAAAATCTGTACATCTACTAGTGTCGATTAAGGGACTTCCAATATCCAGTATCGATTAAGTTGCCTTTTCTTACCCAGTACTGGGTATTGGTATGGACTAACGCTATCCCTATTCTGCATTGCAATAGATGATTTTATTATAAATTGGGCGTAAAAATAATTACGGAGCCCCAGACATTGCCGTTTCAAAATGTTGACGAAATAAAAACTATTAGGACAAATTAAATGCAGTTTTCTTTTTCTGTGAGAGCATTTCTGTTCTTTCTTTTGTGTTGCATTTTAAAAATTACGTTAGCTTTCACAGCCTATTTGTGGTCAATGATTCAATATAAGATCAGAGCATTTGCCAAAACGTGGGATACCTGGGTGTGACAAATGAGGTCCAAAATCTACTTTATGTAATATATATATAGTCTTTAATCATCCATATTATATATATATATATATATATAGCCTAATGATTGCTCTTTCAGGCTCAGTAACTGCCAAAGCTGTAAATGCAATGGTCTTGGTGTAATTTTGACTTGAATGACGGAAATAGAAAAAAGTTCGTTCATAACAATGATGACAAAAATTTATGAATACTCAAAGTTCTTTTCTTCAGCTAGGCTGAGGTTATATTTTGAGACATAACAAACAACTCAAAAATACATAGAGTTGACAGTATATAAAAATCTTTATTCATTTTTGATAAAATTACTTTTTTGTGTAATAATAGTTATGAACGAACAATAAGTGACCAGAAAACTATCAATTATGTAAAGTTTCATTTACTAGAATTGTCTAAAATAACACTCTGGTCTAATTATAGTCAAGTGATAAATGGAAGACTAATATTTACAGCTATTTTTCAAGGCAAACTGGTCATAGGGCATTTTACTATGAATAGATTTAAAGTTCGTTATATCATTATGACACACTATTTCGTTCATAACTCTACTATGACAAATTTTACTTTGGGCCCCCAAAATTCACTTTATTGTTCTGTCTTTCACATAAAATGGTTTTCATTTATGAGACTCTCCTTAAAATATGCATATGTAGGAAGAATTCAAAGTTTATTTATTGAAAAACCCTTACTCTCAAAACTGCCAGGCTGCAATTATGGTTATTGGGTGAGAAATAGCTCAGGCTCAAGTGAATTAAGAACCAGCCTTTACCACGGAATGGAATTTTTTCTCAGTAATTTACGTGCCGAAGAACTTGTCTAAATATAGAAATTCGCCTAAGAACCGGGTTTGAGCTCAGGCCAGTAACCTTTTCTGAGCTGCTTTTTCATACTTTGTGTGTTTTGGGGATGAAGGGTGAGGTGATGGTGTGGACTGGAAAATGATAAAATCCATGCACTACATCATGTACACTTAACAGAACATTTTCTTTGGCCAGCACTGGAGCTCGTACCAGTAGGTCTATCCATAAACTGTTATTTTGTACAATCAGTCACTCCTCTCACATATCAAAGCCTTGTGTCTGATTGTCTTAAAAGCTTGCCCATTCTCAGTCATTCTTTCCCTTCACTTACCAAGTACAAAGCATTGCGACTTGTGTTTTTTATAGTTTCAATACATTATTGAATCTTAATTTAATGAAAAGGTGGTTTAATAATGGTGCAATCGCTCGTTCCTCGCTATGGTCAAAGCCTTTAGCTTAAAAGCTGGCCTAGCCACATTCATTCTTTCCCTTCACTTAGCATTGTGACTGGTGCTTTTCAATGCGCCATCAATTCTTAATGTACAAACTCTTGAAGTTTCTAGTTCTGCACTTCACCAGAAACAGTACAAACCACCTTGACATGTATACTGCATAATATATGCACGTTTGATTTTGAAAAAAAAAAGCAAATCTCTGTACTTTTTATCGAGTGTTAGTATTGTCTGCTGTCATTATTTTATCATAAAATAAGGGAACTCAATGGGTAGGAGTTGTGCCCCTTAAAAGTTAAAAATCCAGCCAAAGACTTGGTCTGCCCAAGAACTCTTTTTTTTTGTCTCTATGGATGACCAGGATCTTAGGTGGAGACCACTTTTTTCACTTTGCAGCACAGGTGTTGTTTTGAAACTTTGTTTTAGTAGCCGTTCTAAATTGTTGGTACAGCTGTTGTTATTCTGTACTGCTATCAGCTGTTTGCTCAGCTGAGTGTTTTTCTTGTATGTAGGAAAATGTTCAAGAAAAACTCACAGACATGATATGCTTAGGAGCCTCAAAGGAACACAAACACAAGTTTGTACATTTAAGTTTGAGAGAAAATGAAAAGTGCTGTAGCAGAAACTGACAATTTCTTCACCTTCATGTAGAGGGATGATATGTAACTGTCAGAGACAGAACTGAACAAGGACGGAAGATAAGAGGCACTGACAACTTTTTCCTAACTTTCATTTTTTAAAGAATTAAAAGCATAATGTCATGTAGTCTTGGTAAGACAGGATTTCTGCTCTGTCACTTTTTATACCTTTTCCGTAACATAGTGCTTCATGTGTATTTGAGAGTGTCACTTCTCTAAACAGCATCAGCCAGGCATCTGTCACATTGAAATAGTTCTACACTCTTCTGGCTTGGTATCTCTCAACTTGCTCTCATCATATATTTTTTGTAAGCTGTTTGGATGGCGTGACAGTCTGGTATACATATGAGCTCTCAGTACACTGTTTCAACAAACCTTAATTTGGCCTTTTTTAAAATTGGGTTTGAATAAAATATAATTACATAAAAATAACCCAATACTTTTAAACCGTTGAAAAAAGTGTGGTGTAGGTTTGAGCTTAGTTGTTGAATGTAGTTCCCACCACCCATTCTTAATGATATATATGCACACTGTCATGCTCATGTATTGTTCAGTGCTCTTTTTTCCAGAAATTAAAAAAATTACTATGGGTCAGTGATAATGAATAGTTTCTGTTCTTTTTTCCCAGGAATAAAAAAAATGACTATGAGTATGAGTCAGTAATGATGAATGGTTCCATGTTCACGATCAGACAAGCAGACTTAACAGAAGAATGAATGTATATATAATATACTCATATCTTGATCTTGTTCTCCACTTTACATGCAATTGCTGCCATTTCTGAAAGTACATAGTGTTTTGGTTCACTGTAGCCAGTTGAAGGTCTTACTTGGTTACTGTTTGTCATTTTCTTCTTTTCTTTTCAGACCAAATGTAACACATGTTGTTACAGAATTCGAAAGTGTTGAACAAGTTGAAAAAGTTCTCAAAAAAGAAGGATGGGAATTACCTAAGACAGCCCTTTTGGTTGTGATAAAATGGTTAACAGAATGTCTGAAGGCTTCTAAAATTATTGATGTTCAACAAAGCCACAAACTGAAACGGGTAAGTAAGGCGATATGGACATTATATGAAGATTTGCTTTCTCATTGGTTAAAATAGCCTAAGGACTGATAAGTATTGGATTTTAAAAATTTTCCGTCTGCAAGGTCCTTGACACAATATAGCCTAAGTACTGATCTGGCAGAAATTTTCAACTTGAATTCACATTAAGTTCTGCTGGCGCTGTACATGTAATTGGTTGCTTCTTGTTTTTTCCCTGTGCATGACCATTGTGCATTGCAGATCTAGATGAGTCAAGACTTGTCACAATTTGCCTCTAGTTTCTACCACTTGTCAAGATGGCAATTGGTGTTATCTCATTATACTACTGCTAGCCAACTTCATGTTTTTCCCAAGGCAGACAGTATAACGGGGTTTGACTGTATCAGTATTACTTGTGATGCTTAGAAAAAATGTCTATGTGAACATAAAGAATATGTCGGGTATGTTGCTTCTTTT